CACCCTGTAATAGTGGCTATAAGGGATAATAAGGATTATATTAGGGTCCTCTTATATTCGTATTATACCACTATTACAGGGTGGGGGGTCCTCCTAAGGCTTACTGTTCAGGGCATAGTAGTGTTTTTTGAGGTAATCGGAGTAGCAGTGTCGATTAGTCCTGGACCCCCTCCATGCCAGGATGCCTTTATTGCCTTGGCTGGGAGTTTATGCTCCCACAGACATTAGGCAACCCCTGCCTTATAAGGATGATTCCACACCTTAAGTGGCCATATGGCGGGATACTGGATGCTCCCTGGCATCCTGACGGTAGTCGTAGCATTGTTTGGATTATTAAGTGATCTTGGGTTGGTTGTTTCTTGTCTCTTTAATAGGAGTTTATGCAAGTCGGCGAACCTTTTTCTGGCGTGGTGTCCCCACATTTGGGGTAAACCCTAAACCTCTACAACTGGGTGGGGTGGACGGGCTGTGTTCGGGTGTGAGTGACATGGCATGTTGTAGGCTACCTCATCCCTGTCTTGGTAGGAGATGAAAGCAGATACACGGCAAGGAGATTGAGGGTTGAGGGTGGGAGAATTAGGCTCAGAGGGATTGAGTGGAGCTCATGAACCCGAAGCAGCTAGAAATTGTTCTGCTTTCAAGACAGCGTATTGTGGCAGTTGTTGATCGTGAGCTTTGGATTGGCTCACAAATCAACTCAGCAGAGACCAAAAGCGGAGTTCGGATTCTCAACCTTGAACCCTGGGTAGGCCCCTGGGATATTTGATATTTTCCCTAATGGCTTTAATGAGGGACCCTATATATTAACATTTTTCAAAGGGCTTTAGGGACCAACCTTGAACCCTGAACCTCCCTGACAGGTCAATGGCGCCAAGTGGCTAGATGCTTGTCTGGGTTGATGGGGTTTAGGGTTTAGGGTTTAGGGTTTAGGGTCATGATTTGGGGGTTTCGAACTAAATGTGGTCCCCCGCAAGTTGAGCGCTTCCCAAAATTAAGGGTACCATTTGGGGTTCCATCGCTTTGGGGTCTATGTTGGGGTCCCCCTATTTGAGGGGCCCCGACGAAGAGACCCACATTTTTTGAAACCTCATGTGTGAATCTGAACAGTTCTCAGCGCTGTCGTGGGGAGTAGAAAGCATGTCTTTCCTGTACATCTATTTGACAAATACGCAAGAGAGGCTGAGTAGGCCCCTGGGATATTTGACATTTTCCCTAATGGCTTTAATAAGGGACCCTAAACCCTAAACCCTACTAATATTTTTCAAAGGGCCTTAGGGGCCAACCCTAAAGGACAGGAGTAATGCTGGATCTTGGGCAAGAGGTTTCCTGCCTGCGCCATGGAGCTCCGAACCTAAGAGTTGCTAAGATGAAACGAAGCGTGAACAGGCCCCCTGTACTGGATCAATGTTAGGGATCCTTTATACTTTTTGGAGGCACTCAGGCTCAAAACCTCCCAGACTGGTGTGCCCGGAACCAGTCCGGGTGCACTGGGCCAATTTGAGCCGTGAACTAGGGGTTATGGACCTGATCCCCCCCAAGGACTTTGCTAACTTGTCTTCTTGGATTCGGGGAGTCA